ATCCTGAGATACCCCCTAACCATTTTAAATGCATATTCATTACAAAATATAACTCCTTTGGTGAGATATTGCGCATGCGCTAACACACTAACGCAGCCAGATTGTGTACTGGCTGGTATACGCAGCCGGAACCTTACATGCAAGGTCTGCCTCCTATTTCTTAAATGATGTCTACAGATGGAATGTTATCATATAAATCTATGCTAGGATATCTCCTCCTCAATTTAAATGCATAATCTTTGCACACAAAAAGAATTCTCTCGGGAGATATTGCGCATGCGCGAGCACCGTGTTAGGCGTGCAATGCCGTCTGAGGCATTGATACCAATACGGACAGCATGTGATTCCATTTAGTGAAAAAAGTATAAAGAAATTCTGGGAATGTGTTGCCAATTGCAAGTGGACGGCTGTGGAAGGAAGCCCTGAGGCTTAAAGGGACAGTAGCTTCTAGGATTTTATGTCGTTTATAAGATATTACAATTCTTTCGCTTTTAAATAAATAAATAAGATACACCCTCGGTCTGTAGCCCTTGGCCGGAAAGTGGTTTTGCGCAACTTATCAGATCGTGCGCATTGAATGGCGCCACTGTCGTTGTAATCAAACTGTAGTTACTTTTTATGTAGTGTAATTATAACCTAAATTAGCTGAAAATAACCCTAGAACCTAGAGTAAACTTTCCCTTTAAAGCAATGTCGCAAGTACACCAACAACAAACACAGCCGGCTAGGCGTGGGACTAGGAGAGGGGCTTGCACTTGCAGTTGATGTCGATGTTGATGATATTGATAAAAACAAAAGATCTGGAAAGTAGGCTCTCTATTAGTATTGCTTTTAATCTATTGTTATTTACAAAAATGATGAAACTAATTTACATTTTCAAGCATGTTTTCATGATTATGTGATTGGTTGTTGGTTGTATATACAGTGTACGTGTTACTGTTGCTCGACGAGACTGTGAGACTGATTGTTTATACAAAGTAATACAGGTCTTGTAATACAAAGTGATTAGCAAGACCGTTTCTTGGAGCTATTTCTATTTCTATTAGTCCGTGACTGAACTCAGCTGCTAATTAATAAAACTGTGACTGTGAATGAATGAGAGAGACTGAACTGAGTAGTGAATTGGGGAGCTCATTCACAGTCCGTGATGTCCGTGATGAATTGATGAAAGGTATGGAAAGATTTGTTTGCAAAATGTATGGGCAGGACTGTGAGAGCGTTAATAAAAACTACCAGGCAGCCGTACACTTGCGATGTCTAGAACAGTTTCCAAATATTCCTAGTCCAAATGGATATGGGTGGAAAATATAGATCATGATACTATAGACATGAACTGGGGTGATCTGCCCCCCAGTTCCAAGCAGCTTGCTTGAACTAACTTACTGTTCTTGCAAGAAAACCAACGGTGAGAAACCGTCTGGCACTGGCAAAGGACGGTGTTCTTGTCGACAGCATGGTGTGTCATATACAGTGAGATAATACAGATCTGTGCAAGTGTGTCGACTGCAGAAACTCGATTGTTACAAAAGAGTTGGATTCTAATGAAGAAGACTCAAACGAGGAGTAGATTATCTCACGTACATGTAAGACGCTTAAGTGATAATGTTCTCTGAATACATTAACCCTATTATGCTATCTATGTTAATTTATGTGTGATACCACAGTGTTTTTACAATATGTAATTGAAAAAATTGTTGAAAATGAAAGAATTCAGTTCAACATATGGTAAGTATTTGTACTAGTCTACTAGTCATGCATGAGTGCATCGACTGCAGAAAAACTCGGTTGTAATGAAATATTTACATTTTGATGAAGACGACTGGGATGAGGAGTAGATTACTCCAAGTACATGTAAGACACTCGCCAAGTTGCCATATTTTTTGGATACATTAATTCCCGAGTGTTACCACAACTGTTTTTACATTAATGTAAAGGAAGAAATTGTTGAAAATGAAATAATTCAGTTCAACGTATGGTTGGTATTTGTACATATAGGCCTACTAGTCATTAAATATGAGCGCATCAACTGCAGGAACTCTGTTGTCATGAAATATTTACATTCCGATTAAGAAGACTCGGGCAAGTAGAATACCCTATGCAAGACTCTCAAGTGGCAATGTTCTCTTGATACATTAACCAAGTAATAATTATTTATGTGTGATATCACAACTGTTTTTACATTAATTTAAATGAAGAAATTGTTGAAAATGAAAGAATTCGAATGACCGCTATTTCCTTCTAAAAATAAAAATAATGTATCAGTTCATTTGTGTGTATATATATATATATATGTGTGTGTGTGTGTGTGTGTGTGTGTGTGTGTGTGTGTGTGTGTGTGTGTGTGTGTGTGTGTATGTGTGCGTGCGTGCGTGTGTGCGTGCGTGCGTGCGTACGTGCGTGTGTGGATGGGACCCGGATATGGGTGGGGTGGAGTAGGACCTCTATCACTCACTCTTCTCTACAGTTTCCAAATCTGAAACTAAATTCTTCTAGGTTAGGTTTGAATTGAAAATTCAAATGACCACTAAATCCATCTAACAATTAATGTGTCAGTTCATTTATGCGCGCGCGCGCGTGTGTGTGTGTGTGTGTGTGTGTGTGCGTGTGCGTGTGCGTGTGCGTGCGCGTGCGCGTGCGCGTGCGCGTGCGCGCGCGCGTGCGTGAGTGCGTGCGTGCGTGTGTGTGTGTTTCATGTTTGTAGGGCCTCACTCTTCTGTACGGGTTTCCCATCTATGCAGACTAATTACTGTTCATGTTCATAACTCCCATAGAGTAATACACAATTATCTAATAATGGACATAAGATGGCGCTATAGTTTCTGCTAATTACCATAGCTAATTAATGTAAAACTTTTTGTACTGACGAGTTATGAATTCTTTCGTGGTGATTTTTATACTAATTCTAATATGCAAAAATTCAGATACCAGAGGTGGGTCACAAAAGTTAAAATCTAAACACATTTTGTATGTTCGGCCCACGATCTACTCGCATTATTTGGCTAACCTTGATCACGACAACGATGGGTTTCGCCCAAGGTAGAGCTTCCGAGAATCCTTCCAGTAGAACATCGGCGAACATCTTCTCTGCTATCAGGGCGACGCGTTCCGCTCTACTGTCCACCGGTATCTTGTTATCCCGCAACTCTTCCTGCGTAGGAATATATTGCGATGACTTTAAATACCGCTATTGTAGCTTGACACCGTCACTAACTTAAACGTTTACGAATAAAGTTGGTGACTTTAAGTGTAGAAAACCAATTGGGTAGTTAATAGACTAAAGCATGCAACTACGGGTTTGCGGATTTCGCGTACGCTACAATAATCAAATGTTTTAGTTTCTATAATGAAATGCTGACTCTCTGTATTTATTCCTAGTGAATTCTTTTGGTATACGTTTTGCAAATCCCAGCTTTAAGAGTAGGGTGAATTAAACGATCGGACGCCTCCTTGCGGTAGAACGCGAAGGGTAGCCACCCGCATCACATACAAAACTTGCTTTATAGGAATAAAGGGACAGCACTGCAGCACAATAAAATTTGTGAATGCAGATAAAAGTGACAATAATTAGTTAGCGGATATCGAACTCGTGGTACTAACCAGGAGTCCTTTTCCTTTCTTGTGCGCCTCTTGGGCCGCGGCGCTCGCAGCGCCATCGTTCGCGTCCGATTTGTGCGTCAGCGAAACATCGTCCAAGCGCATGGACGAGCCGTTCTTAAATGGCTGCACAGAAATAAAGATACAGGTAACTGCCATTACCAACAAAACACATAATTATGCAAAAAAAATTCATTAGCAAATTTTTACTAAACACATGTTCCTTACATTCTCAAAACGTGTGATGGCGCGTAGCAGCTATATAAGTTTGCATTGGTTATTACATGCAGTTCATCCGTGCACGAAGGCGACACCTAGGTGATATTGTTGAGACATTGCAAGAAAACCATTTACGAAGTAATTCTCTCATCAAAATTTGATTAAATTGGTTAGAATTTACCAGCAGCCTCATAATGGTAATGGGCTCTTGAGTGTATATATCTATCGTATATACCTTTTTCGTTTTATCATTGTCGGAATCGTCTTCATCCTTCGTAGACTTCGACGATATGCAGCCCATTATGAAGAGAGTTCAGCGACCTCTATATATATAGGAGACAGCATACGGGACGGTTATACACTCATTCCCCATGTGCATGGTTTACCTGTGCCCTGGCTTACCGTGCGAATAAACCAGTTTACGGACGAGGGTGGTGCGTAGGGCAGAACGCATCACATTGTTTAATCGTACGGTGATTAGATACTCTACCACGGCGAGTTAAATTAGCAAGCATTCCGAAACTGTATAGAATCAACAAGTATGTAATTGTGTGTAAATGTTCAACTGGCTTGTACATTAGGTAGTTCTCCTCTGCAGCTATATAGTTCTCCTCTGCAGCTATAGTTCTCCTCTGCATGTAGGTGTGTGATCTGTTACATATACAGCGCACCGCTTCTCTCCCAGCAGAATCAATTAACATGGACCCATTTACTGCAAGAAGCAACTGTACTGGAGAGGAGCAGGAAGCGAAAGTGTATATAATAGTAGTCTCTTGCCTATCGGGCATTTTCAGTATGTCATTCACGTTTGCTTGTCACGGGTGGACGAGCTAGACTACACGTACAGCAGTAGTATGTATACTATCGACAACTATTGAACGTCACCGCGTACAATCTAATCCATATAATTTATTTTAATTCATAATCGACTCTAAAGAAGCTGATATGACAGCGAAAAATGGTCTGGATTAGGTAATTCTATACTAGTCACCCTTTAGCTATCAATCTGTCGCTGTGTGTGTATTTTACTCCGCATTCTCTCTTCTTTTTCGCACACACACACGCGCGCGCACACACACACACACACACACACACACACACACACACACACGCGCGACACGCACGCACGCAGACACACACAACACACACGCACGCACCGCACCACTCACGCACGACACGCGACGCACTAACAGACATCCACGACACACCTATACACACACACACACACACACACCACCACAAAACACAGCACACGAACCCCCACACACACACACACATATATATATATATATATATAATATATATATATATAGGCCTATATGCTAACCGATTACTTTCCAACAAGTCTGTGTATTATAAGTCTGCGTCACTATTCAAACGCATGAAAGCCTGATGAGCAATATCTAACCAACTAGCATCTACTCATCGAGTGAACATTGAACGCGAACTGTCTACTCGGCGAGATTACAGCAGGCATATAATATCTTGGTCATAACCGGATACTAAATGGAGCGCCTTATACGCGCAAACAGCACAGCATGCAGACAGACAGATAAACGAGCCTAATATACAACGCTCGGCGCACACACACGCTCAAAGCAGGTACACACACACACGCACGCACGCACACACACACATATATACTCACACGCGCGCACGCACGCACATATACACACGCGCGCACGCACTCACGCCGTGCACGCCCCGCGCACGCCGCACGCACACACATGGATCACACATTTCGGCGCAACGACACCACACAACACACACCCACCCACACACAACACACACACAACCCACACACACACACACACAACAAACATTATAGATAATATATTATATATTATATAATACATCATATATATACTAGCGGCGATTAACCGGCGTGCACCGAGGGAATCAGTGGCGTTTACTCAGTTGTGACGCCCTTGGTTGAAAGGAAAATACCCAAAACTTCGATACTATCTATTCTATCAATGAGCATCAATCATGCATCCATCCATCAATCGCATTTCATGTGCATCCCATCCCATCCCATCCATCGCACCGCATCCCATCCAGCGTGCATGACCATTCATCGCGACACGCACGCCACGCACGCCAACGCACGCACACACACTATACACACGCACGCACGCCATATACACACTGCGCGACGCACGCAACGCACGCCTCACGCACACATCACATACACACTACCGCCACGCACGCCACCACACACACCCCACACACACACCACACCATCACACACACACACACGCACACACACACGCCACGCGCGCGCCGCGGCCCGCTGCGCGCACACACATTATACTACCACGCGCGCACGCACGCACGCACGCACGCACGCACCACCAGCACGCACACACACACACATATACCACACGCCCGCACGCTGCGCACCCGCGCTCGCACGCACATTAACCACACCGCGCCACGCCACGCACGCACGACGCACACACACATACACCACATACAGCGCACGCAAACACACACACCACAATCCACACACACACACACACACAACACGCACACACACACATCAACACATACACCACACACACACAAGTATATACTTATATATATATATATATATATATATATATATACACGCACGCACGCACGCACGCACGCACGCACGCACGCACGGACACACGTACTTACAGAGGGGTAGGGGAAAAGAGAACGCCGGAGGGGCCCGAACTGCTAATGTTCGCCTATAAAATCAGAAACCAGATTTGAATAAAATGAATGGTGTATATAGTCAGGTATATATATAGTCCGGTAGACGTACATTTACTCTACTTGCTATGGCCAGAGCGAACAAGTCTGAAAACTCTACAAACGAGGGCGCTGAAACTATAAGGCAGATGACGGTGATGAGTGGACTTGACCCAGTTACAAATGTACACCAAAACGTTGCGTAGGCATGCAGTCACCGTTTGATGAATTTTTTTAGCTGCATGAATCTCATCACGACTATTTTTATAAGGTAAATAATTTGTGTACGTGTCCGTGCGTGCATGCGTACCTGCATGCGTGTCCGTGTATATGGTGGTATAAGCGTGAAGAGGTGTGTGTGTGTGTGTATGCGTGCGCGTATTAATGTTGCCATGTTCCTATTCTCCAGTTAGCCTAGGTTATCTTTAGATTATACTGCGTAAAAAACACATCTATATATAGTAAATGATCTTTTCTCTGATAACGTCTGCGCCCGTACGATTCTAGTATATCTAAAACTCGTCGATGCCCTTTAACTTTTGAAAATCATGGAGCAGCATATCAATATGAAATAGATGGTATATAGTGGTATGAGATAGAGGCGTAGCAAGTTCCTTACCAGCGTAATATGAATTCAGCGGTTTTCCATCCGTTTTTGTCGTGTTCGTAGAGAGAGTTTACACTGTATAGCGAGTATTCAGTCCTGTATAGTGGAACGCGCGACAGTGGCACGCCTTCGTCCCGTTCACGCCTAACCGTTCAGCAGCTCCACCAAATTCGTACTCCCAGGTTTATGGGCAGGTAGTGCGCGAGAACGTGTGTCTGTGTATGTGACGGAGAACCCACGGTTCACTGATCAGCTCCGCTAAACTATTCGGGCAAAACTTGTTCCGACTGAGAGCTATTGTTAACACGAGTAAAGCGGTAGCCATTGTGAATTCACGGTTTTCTTTTTGCTGCATTCGTATGGCGCCCATTCATATACTTGCCGCATGATATACAAGTTCCCTCCGCCAGAAAGGAAACATAGTTTATAAACTATTATTAGCATATGCGTGCTTTGATAAGATTAAATAAATAAGACATAGGCAGTGACGAATCTCCGGTATGATGACTTGCAATAGATTATTGAAATAGTTATTGAATAGTAATTGAAGTGTAGGCGTATGGTATTTCTATTGGTGCCTCTGCCAACTGGAACGACGCATATATTTACACTAATATTTTCACGCTAAAAAATTTACTCTCAATGCACGCGATATAGAAAAAAGGACTGAACAATTATTGACACTTTTTTCTTGTATTCATTTTTATCGTACAAAAGTACATACACAAGACACAATCTAGCACATACATATAATGCGAAATAATAATCATCGGCCAAGTCAGAACTCGTGTACAGCAGCAGCACAGCCTGACTCTGAAGGATAGAAATAACGCGATGTTACTTGGCACTATAGATATAATGGCGAACTAGACTAAATACAGATATCTGTATATATTGGCAGCGGATCTGTATATAGTCGTAGCGGTTCACTACGGCGGAACTATACTTCATGATAGCTAAACGTAACAAATCAATGATAGACGAGGTCGTCTATGACCGGTATCTATTGGCGTTATTGTACCGTACACGTGTATTTTTCACCTGCGTTGTATCTGAGTCTTTAGTTAGTGTTCATACATATACCTGTTGTTAAGCCTGCTATATCTACCGCCGAAAACGAGTATCATACTAATTAATATTAACTATAGCTTCGAGGGACGATGTGAGCTTACGATAGCGACTGGCACTGTGTCAAGTGCATACTCGTAAATAATATGCCGTAACGCGATATATTGTACTAGCATTGTTGTCTCCTATTCAATTTCTTTTCGTATAAATTAATTTACTTCATAAACTGTTATATATATATATTGGATGAGCTATATCTAAATAGCGTAGATACATTGATTTAAGCTCCGCTATTAATATATTTGCTGGAGAAAACAATTTGCGAATCTTCGAAGTTTCGATTCGTCCGACGGCGATGCAGTGCGCATGCGTAAGCAGGTGTCTGTCTCTACGTGAAGCAGACTGACCCCACCTCGAAACCGAACGCTTGATGAGGCAGCCCGTAGTCTTGTGGTAGGAAATCGACTAGCGGCATCTGGTTGAGTTTATTGGTTACCACTTCCAGAATGGTTTTGCTATACGAATGTCGACTCTGAAACGTGAGACGGAGCCTTGTCACGATATTATGTACAATCAAGAGTCCGTAATAGAGAGTCTCTGTTATGTACTCTTAGTACAATGAATGAATCACCACGTCACCATATTATATCAATAGTTGCTGACCCATCTCTCATAATAATTGCATACCATTCTAATACTGGTCAGCCTATCCTAATAGAACACAATTTATGTAACCATCGATGCATCATGATCCAAAATAACGATGCTAGTAAGTTAGGAGATGATAAGAAAATATTAGCTCTTGGTACATATATCTAGTGGTGTTCTTCTGCACTCATTCAGACGATAATTCGAGATATACGTGCGCGGCACATCGCTGTGTACGTCATGCACACTATAAACTGAGCGCAGGTCAGGACTATATTTGGCACTAGTCGAATCGGGTTTACTTGTGTCTTGGTCAATTCTTCCGCTACTAATGACCTTGTGGAATGTATACTGCCAGGGGCTGATCTAGGATTGACGCAAATGACGCCCTAAAGCCTAGCGCAGACTTGCGACTTTTGGTTGCTCGTCGCTGCAACCTGCAACCGCCTGCGATCGGTTGCACGCTTCACCGTGTGTGCGCACACATGCGATTTCGAAGCGATTTCGGATCGATTGGGAGCGACAAGTTGCTGAAAATCAAACCAATTTGATTTCTTGCAACTCGTTGCAAGCGACCAGAATCGCTACGAGTTGCAGTTGCACGTTCCCGCAGACAGCGATTTCACAGCAATTTCGACTGCGATTCTAGAATCGCAGCCGAGTTGCATTGAAAAGTCGCAAGTCTGCGCTAGGCTTAACTCGCGCGGGGACTGGCCCACTCACCTGGCATCCATCATATATGACCGTCGGTAGGATCGCATCGGGACTGAACTGCTGTTCGTTTGCTCCAAGCAGGCTGATGGCTAGTCCGTGACTGTAGTTCTCCAGGTTGTACCAGCCGACTGAGTTTATGCAACTGTAGGTGAAGTTCTGACGAGCGTGTGCGTGTAGCAGGCGTAGGAATGTCATCTGCACTTCCCCGACGCCCTCGTACGTAAACTGCAGACGAAAAGTAAGATTTTCAGCTCGCATGCAGTTCACCAATGTAAGAAGGAAAACGACGCTATTGTAAACAGGGCCACAATTAAAAATATCTTTGTTTGCCCTCACCCGACCCAGGCTGAAAAGTCTGGGTAGGTAGGTAGGCTTTTTTCAAGGGCGGGGGTCTTTTTACAAATTCAGCATGGTGTCTACATGCTCGGGTGTGCTTGAGTGGAGGTACCTTTTATGTTGAATGTTCGTTTTGCTTGGTACATATAATGTATTGCCTACATATTTATATAATGTACAGTGATTTATGCAATCGCGAAATTAACAGGAGACGTGAATCAATATCGCATCACGAGAACGCGCATCAGCCAATTAAGCTCCGTTAATTAGTTCCGATTAATTCCGATGACACGCTCTAATGACGAATTATCGTGAATTTATGCGCGAATGGATGCCATATCACACGACATCAAAAACTCGCATACCTGAAATCCACCTCGTAAACTACTGAACCACTTGATACTTGCTTCTTTATCCCAGGGGATGTTCGGCATCTAGGAATAAATAAAAAAGATAAAAACTAGTCTCATACGAACCACTGACTCGTGTCTCATCGTGTGCATCAAAAGATATGATTATGCCCTTCATGCTATGTCCGTTTTACCTTGGATGCGTGAGAATCTGGGTAGACGCATGTTTCTACATCCAATGCGGTCTTATTGCAGTACACCTGTATTGAATCACTGATGTGACCAAGATTTGGATCTATCCAATACCAGCCTGCGATGAAACAACGATATACTCATAATGAATCATGCGTGCGTATATTCGAACCGAATTCATCTATACGCTGGTCAAAGCATGCAGTAAAATAGGAGTGATGTGGAGTCATACAGACGTCTAGTAGTTAGAGACGCACCGTTTTCGTAGCCATCGTGACCAAGAAACAGATCGCGGCAAGTGCGGGGTGGGTTGCCTTGAGTGCCTAGAGGCGCCTTCATGTTCCTGATCTCCCGTTTCATTTCTATCATCTCGTCGACTACTTTATTCAACTAGGAAATAAATATATATATATATATATATATATATATATAATAGTTATACGAACAGCGAACAGGCATGTGTCTCTGTGACCCTATGCAACGATGAAATTGCGATTTTACAGTGAACTCAAACCTATACGCTGACTCCGTGTAGAGTATCGTTTGGCGAAAGCATTTACATCACCCGATAATTCAATTATTTTGTATAAATTGAAATAGGTGTACTTGCTTGATCAATGGATTATACGTAAAACCAAAAGTTTAAAATAATTTGCTATTAAAAACTAATTAATTGAAGCTGAAGCGTGTATTATACGCCGGTGTCACCTGGGTGAAAAACTCCAGAGTTTTGTTATCTGGCTTCCCATCGGACACGTCATCATTGCGAGCATTTAAGTGCCTCCGCCGTTCCCTGGCCCTCCGCTTTTCCTGCCGAGCCGCTCTCCGCGCCGCTTTTGAGTCTTCAATTTGCGTGACGCCATCCACTGCGTCTTGCGTGACCTCATCCGAGAGTTCGTCACCTTGCGTGTCGTCATCAAAGGAATCGTCACCTTGCATGACGTCATCAAAGGGATCGTCACCTTGCATGACGTCATCAAAGGGATCGTCACCTTGCATGACGTCATCAAAGGGATCGTCACCTTGCATGACGTCATCAAAGGGATTGTCAGCTTGCATGACGTCATCGTAGCTTATAGATCGACGTATTCTTCGACTTCTTTGTAAGAACTCTACAGCATATTCGGCCGGGAATACATTTCCTTCGCCCGGCGGCCCCTGCCGAAAATATTTACCGGTTAAATGAATACCCATACTGGCGCTTCGATTAATAAGCGATGGTCAGAAAGTGGATCTTGCCTATTTCATGGTTTGCTTAATCCACATACCGCAGGTCCAGCTGTGCCAAGGGGACCTGGATCGCCCTTAGGGCCACGTGCTCCTTCTGCGCCCTTCGGTCCCGAAAGACCTTCAATACCCTAAATAGCAAAAAGCGTAAGACAATTACGTTATTATTCGCATGATAACTGCTTCTAATCTGTGTCATCATATCTCGAAAAATAAGAACAGCGGAATGATCATCTGTAAGTTAATATTTTTATCTGGAAATATTCATTCTATTTAATGACGTGAAACAGGTTTATACGTACTGGCAATCCGGGTGGTCCGTCTGCGCCCGGTATACCGACCGGGCCTAGCGGTCCCTGAAAAAGGAGTTCTCATCAATGATGATGAATATTACCATCGCGATTACATTCAGACAAAAGTAAACACATAAAGTAGTGACAATACAGTACAGTACATGAAGCTTTACCTTGTCCGTTGAAAATTTTACTCACTTGATCGCCTTTGGGTCCTGGAGGGCCAGTAATTCCACTCGTACCTTTTTCCCCTTTCGTTCCGGGTAATCCGTTTTCTCCAAGCTTGCCTATCTCTCCCGCGTGACCCTAATCAAAATATACACGCGCGTATAAACGCATATTATATCAAGAGCTAATAATACCTAGGTATTATTAGCTTTTGATTATATGTATAAATAGAAAATGTCAGTCAATAAAAACAACAGCATATACAATATATGCTGTTGTTTCTATTCACTGACACTTCCTAATGACTAGGAAAGAAAAAGACGATGTTCTGCATATGACTGTTAAGTTGGACTGAACGAGGCTAATCAACCTGCTACATACCTTGATACCTCTATGTCCCCGTTTACCCCTTGATCCCCTCGGTCCTGAAGTACCCTAAGATGCAAATAGAAGTTAACCATTAATTCGTACAATTCTCGATAAATGCTTACAAGACGCGGCGTCATGCACAAAACTGTTAGATACGTGAAAAGCGCGTTCACGTCGTTCATAATTTCAAAGCTTTATCTTATGCTTTTAGTATTGCAACATAATATGATAATGTATCTACGTGATTGCCAAAAAATCTATACATACTATTGGACCAACAGCACCAGGTTTTCCTTCTGGTCCTGGCAAGCCAACCTCCCCCTACAACAAAAGTGCTAATTATATTAATAACTATTATATATATTATATATTATTTAATAATTAATTAATCAATTTATTTATGTATGCATGCATATGATTATACATTTATTTATTTATTAATTTTTCTTATCTACATATTTATACATGTTTATATATATATATATATATATATATATATATATATATATATATACTATATGTTCATATATGTACATGCTTGACTCTCGACTATTCAGTGAGAGTCACAAACCATATCATTATTTCTAAAAGTAAATGTGTGGTGACGCTTCACGTACGCAGGTCCAGGCGGGCCCCTGACACCTTGCGAGCCTGATGGCCCACGGTCCTTTGCGGTCCTGGCGCGCCATCATTGCCTTGCGGCCTGGAATACCGCTATTGCCCTTCTCTCCGCCGTGACCGTATTCCCCTTGAGGACCGGGAGGTCCCGGTTGTCCCTAAATGCGTAAAAGCAACGAAACAATATATATCAACTTGCACTAGCGGTGTATTGAACGGCTAATTATATTATATAGACGAATATATACTATATATATATATACATACATAATGTATATACTAGTATATATGTATAATATATATATAATATATATATATATACGGCTAAGTATTGTATAGGGTAACGATACATACAGTTTTTCCAGAAGGCCCATGAGGTCCGGCTGGTCCGGCTGGACCCAGGCTGCCCGGTTTTCCAGGGGCTCCCGGTAAGCCATCCTCGCCTGAGGATCCTACCATTCCCTTCTCTCCAGTGGGACCCTCCAGTCCAGGAAGACCTGGGAATCCAGTCAATCCCTGGGAAACACTCAGAGTGTTGTAGAATACTAACACCGGCGCACGCACACGCACGAGCACACACACGCACGTACGCACGCACGCACGCACGCACGTACGCACACACTCACGCACGCACGCACGCACCCTTGGACGGACACATGAGCACAAACGCACACACACGCGCGCACGTACGCACGCACGCATGCATGCACGTACGCATGCACGCACGCATGCACGCACGCACGCGTGTACCCGCACCACACATATGGTAACAGGACGAGCAAACGCACATACTGACGCACATTCAGGCACACGCTCAGGTACGACTGTTAACAGTACGAGCAATATCCAAAAACCCAACGTGTGTATACTAAGCTATATAAATTACTGGAATTCTTTAATTGGTTGTATTTAGTGTATTTTATTAAGTGCCAATAAGCGACGATACGGTAAGTAAGGTATAATAAGCACGCACTGGCTCTCCTTTAATTCCCTCAACTCCTGGTCTTCCTCGCGGTCCCGGGGGACCTTGCAAGCCCATCTTTCCAGGGTCGCCTTTTAAACCTTCAAGCCCACGAGAACCCTGTACAAAGGAATACATATGTTTGCGTTAGAACTTCCTCGTTTACAATGACTAGGCTTTCTAGCACTTTTATGGCAAAGGATTATCGATAGGCGAGTTCGGAAAAATAGCTATCATGCATGATACACTTACCGGCTCGCCATCTCTGCCTGGAGGCCCGGGTTTGCCTGTCGCTGCCGTTTCTCCTTTGAACCCGCGTGGTCCTTCTGATCCCGGTGGACCAGGAATTCCAGGCTCCCCCTGTGAAACGATACGTTAGTCAATCAACCGCTTTCTAGTAGACGTAGAATACGTAGAATACGTATAATACGTAGAATATAAGTGTATGATATGATCTGATTGCTCATGTCATGCGATCGATGCACGTACCCTAGGTCCTACATGTCCTGGGCCACCGATAGGGCCTGGTGGGCCAGGAGGTCCTTTGGTTCCATGGTTGCCCTGGTTTCCTTTCTCACCGGATAATCCTGGCAATCCCTATCAGACACGTTCCAGTCAAAAGTGTACTCATAATGCTGGCAACCTTTGTTAATACTATTTCTAATGCACATAGAATGTAATTCTCATATTAATATGTTTCTCCTGAATATGTTTCTCATGTGCGTTATACATTATGACAACAATGATACATATCGTGATAAAGCTGTTTAGACAAACCACTACTTACTGGAGTTCCAGGCGTTCCATATCCCTTTGGACCAAGTGGGCCATCACTACCCTAAAGATGTTAAAATTAAACAACAGACACAAATGTCAAATGATTATCACTTGTTGTAATTTCCGCGTTTGAATAAACTGTATTTGTATTAACTTAAAATAAAAGTGTCAAATACACTGTAGCTCACCACAAAAAAGGACACAAATGAGTGAGTGAGAAGAAGTCAGTTTTAATTGAGCAACCATCGACGTACATTATAGAATCGAAGAGTATATATGGGAGAACTCCCATTATATACTCTTGATAATTATATGTGTAATTTTTTATGTGAAAATAAATGTTTGAGATGCGAAAGTCTGAGATGTGGGTGAGTGATGGCGTTTCACCTAAATGATCGCCATTTAACGTTTTTATAGTATTCAGATTCAGGCACTGCCTAAAAGCGGAGCTCCCGATGTGTAACGTGTAAGATTGAGAGGATACGCTTATTCCACGTAGCTGCTATATACCACGTGACAATGGTGCTTCCCTGCCCATAACACAACTTTTGTCAAAGGTTAATTGGTTGTATGGAAGTGTTTACTTCGTATGAGTTTTTCTAGGCGGTAGCACACGGTTGCCATCTGTATATCGCAATAATAATTTATAAACCAAAATTAATCACAATTTATGACGGTAGATGGCGCTATATCCACTTTGATGTTTCTTAGCGATGGCGTTCGAAATAAATAGGTTATGCTGCGTTCCGACATGTTTTGTAAAACTTCACTCTAATATAGACGTTTTATCGGCAGGGTGGAGAGGAAATACCAATTTTGCATTAAAGATATTGTCAATGAAATCTTGTAAAACGAACCAGACAAGTGTGACACCACAGACTGTTATCTGCGTGTCTATATAATATGCTATATAATTGCCAAAACCTACCTAATTTGCATAATTTTTTTTTAAATATCAAAACCCCTGTAATACGTTTTGGGGCCAGCCCTTATTCATTCACATACCAAAAATGAGCAAAATCTGTTTAACCTGAACTGACTAATGGCAATTTCCATTTTTGCCAAAAAATTGCCGTGGCTCGAAAGTACGTCGACTGGCGTGCTCCAAAATAGGACGTTCAAACCTCTCCCATAGCAGTAACAACTATACCCAATTTCAAACATGTGGGTCAAACAGTTCCTGAAACTGTTTATTGTTGACCGCAGCCAAATGTTGACGGAAGAACGGACGAACGTACGACAGACGACGACCCATGGAAATAGCTCATCTTGACGATGACAAGGTGATATCGACACGGATGTAACTAGTGGCATTTAGAAGAGTTTATAGATAGCAGACACCATTACCTTATTTCCCGGTTTTCCCATTTCACCTCTATGGCCCTGTTCTCCCAGTGGACCCTGTGGAAACAAAAGCGTATCTCAATGCAAATTGCCACAACAAGTTGGTTTTCAATCTATCAAACACATCAGCAGTCCTAATGCATATGAATATTGGATGACTATACTTACAGGAGGACCAGGTGGTCCCATACGACCTTGCCTTCCTTGTGGGCCTAATGGTCCATGCTCGCCTATGCTGCCCTTTAATCCTTTACTCCCGTGAGGTCCAATATCGCCCTATGTTAGACACAATATATCAAGAATACAGTGTGTATTGTTGAACACCTTCTAACAATACACTGTGTATTGTAGTAGGTACCTATGAGCTTTCAAGAATACAGTGTGTATTGTTGAACACCTTCTAACAATACACTGTGTATTGTAGTAGGTACCTAACAACTGTGTATTTAAATTCAATAAAATCAATCAAATAATTTCAATAAATTCATTTAAAAAAAGTCAATTTTAAGTTTACAAATCAAAAAGTAACTAATTAAAAAAAGAAAAAAAAGAAAAGAGAAGTATTGTTAGGTGTTCAACAATAAGCAGTGTATTGTTGAAAGCTCATAGGTACCTACCACAATACACAGTGTATTGTTGAAAGCTCGCTAACAATACACAGTGTATTGTCAAATGCCTAAACATACAACACACTGTGTATTGTTAGTTACCAGGATTATCTGACTAATAACATACACATCATAACATAATCACGCAATCACATCATATACTAATAAGTTTTAATAATCTATTATAATTCACTTCTGATATTACCTTATCTCCATCCTGTCCTGGTTCACCAACAGGACCAGGTGGTCCTGGGAAGCCCTGCAATAAATTGCAAATCATATAATTTACGACAATACCCATACCACATATGTTGCGTTGTTATTATACATATTGTCACTGTTGCGTGTATACCATATTACTCACTCCTTTTTATCATTACATTATGAATTATAACTTCAGCAGCTTTATCAAAGTGCAGCCATTTGATAAACATGTAGCATAGTACGGTACATACCTTTGGCCCCGTTCGTCCATCCCGACCACCTTCACCTGGTGATCCTTCCTCACCCTAGCAGCATAATAGCAACGGTATAGTGCGTGTATAACGTATGCGGGTCCTTACATAGACGCAATATAACCATTATAGCCCGGTGTTATAGTAAACAATGTTTATTCGACCCCTGTGATGTTTTACTTATTTGTTTGCCCAATATAAACGAACGTGCTGTATCAACCTAACTGTTGATCAAGTGAAGTGGAGCCATCCAAATTTCTTACCATGTCACCCTTCTGTCCAAAAGGACCCTCTGGGCCCAGTAGTCCAGGAGCTCCCTGATAAATATAATAACCAGTGTTATAATAGTCCCTACAAATATATAAATGGTGTATAGAGCTTGTTGTATTCGTATACACTTACGATATTATCAAGAATCCATAATAAAAAAGACGATAGATTTTCTATTAGGGAATCTTGATATTATACAATGCTAATAATGCAATCATGTACCATTAATAATTTATACTACTCACTGGTACGCCTTTTGGACCGGGATTCCCAGAATAGCCTTGACCTCCCTTTTCTCCGGTGGCTCCTGGGGGCCCTGGGGGACCCGCCTCTCCTTTAAATCCAGGATGACCCTGTCCAGTTATAAAGGTATGTGACAATAATATATAGTTGCTAATGCGTTTAATAAGAAACCATTTTTTTCAACACGCATGTTATCCAAGCGTCATTTGATATGCGGATCATTTCTCTTGCATACCACAGTTGACTCTAATAACGTAATTTAATGGAATAAAACATATTATTAGTATAGATTGGAAAGCGTTTTATAACCTGCGGTCCAGGGAAACCCCTTTCTCCTTGATAGCCCTGAAATCCAGGCGGGCCTGGTGGGCCGTCTGTCCCTCTCGGACCAGCAGGGCCAGCAGGACCTTCCTTCCCGGACTCTCCCGGGGATCCGGTTTCTCCTGGTGCTCCCGGTGGTCCAGGATGCCCTCGCTCACCTATTGGACCAGTCTCACCAGATTGCCCTTGAGGGCCAACGGGTCCCGGTGGTCCCTGTGGGCCATCTTGCCCAGGGGTTCCCTAAATGGATGAATTTTGTTGATTGTTTTTTGAAACTAATGAATTATTTTACCAACCTTTCATGAATTAATTAACACGTTTATTTCGGCTTATTTTAGCCTTTATTAGTTAAGTTAAATCCCTACCTACCTACCTTCATATTTACCTGCCTACCTACATACCTACCTACATACATACCCAACTTAACAACCCAACCACCTACCCACAAACCCACCAACCCACTCACCCACCCAGCCAACCAATCACCCACCCACCTAACCACACACTTACCCGTCCCTACTCATCATTTTTAAGAACTAGCGCGTAGTTTATTGTGTACTTACAGAGCTTCCCCGCTCGCCCGGCAGACCCGTGGGTCCTAGCTTTCCATCCGGCCCCTACAAGGTTCAATGTAAAGCACGATGTTACAGTTATTAAGTTGTACACTGACAAGACTGCACCATATTTTCTCAGATTTCGGTTATCGTTAATAGCACGTGTGTTTAAGCGGTACCTGAGAACCGGGAGGTCCTTGTAAACCAGGCTGACCAAGCATCCCTTGAGGTCCCTGATCTCCTTGTAGACCTGGTGGGCCTAACTGTCCATCTGACCCTTTTTGTCCGGCTGGTCCCGGTTGACCACGTATGCCACGGTGACCGGGTTGACCCTGGAAGACACAACGTCAATAATTGTAACTAAACAGTGTGGGCTAGAGTTTCAACACTAGACACATGCATGTACGCACGCACGCACGCACGCACGCACGCACGCACGCACGCACGCACGTACGCATACACACACACGCCCGCTAGCGCGCACACACACACACACACTTACACACACACACACACACACACACACACACACACACACACACACACACACACACACTACACACTACACACACACACACACACACACACACACACACACACACACACACACACACCACACACACACACACACACACACACACACACACACACACACACAC